GATTGTATCCTTTCACCATACTTATTCAATCTGCATGCTGAGCAAATAGTTCAAGAAATTGTCTTATATAAAGAACAGAGCATCAGGACTGTAGGAAAACTTATTAGTAACCTGTGATATGCAAGTGACACAACTTTTCTGATGAAAGTGAAGATAATTTAAAGCACTTACTGATAAAGGTCAAGAATACAGCCTTCAGTATGGATTAAACCTAAACATGAAGAAAACAAGAAATTTTACAGAAAGCACAATAAGTAACATCACAATAAACAGAGAAAAGACTAAAGTTGTCAAGAATTTCATTTTACTCAGATCCACAATCAATGCCCAAGCAATCAGCAGTCAAGCAATCAAACAATGTATTATTGCATTGGGCAAATCTGCTGCAAAAAAAACTTTTAAGTATTATAGGGCAAAGATGTCACTTTGAAGACTAAGAGGCCCCTGACCCAAGCTATGGTATTTTCAGCTGCCTCATATGTATGCAAAAGCTGGACAATGAATAAGAAACACTGAAGAAAATTGATGCCTTCAAATTATAGTGTTAGTGAAGAATAATGAATTGCTAAAAGAATGAAGCAATTTGATGCCACCTAACATGTGGCACTGTGGGATAATGCACTAGACTACAAGGTCAGTTTGAATTGCAAGGTTGGTGGTTCAAATTCACTAGTCACTCTTCAGAAACCCTATATAGGATCGTTATGAATCAGAACAGATGCAACGGCACTTAACAACAACAACAACATTATTTTAGGTGACTCCATAGGGTAAGCACTGGACTGAGAGCCATCAAGTCAGTGATTCGAGCCTACCAGCAGCTCCAAAGAAGAAAAATGAGGCTTTCTGCTCCTGCAAAGATTCATAAGCCTCAGAAATCCTATATAGGGTCGCAATGATTTGATGACAACAACATTTTACTTTAAAGATATTTTAGTGTATCTGTAAGCATTTCTTTAACATTTTTATGTACAGTATATACACTATATAGTACATTTTAGGAGTTCTGGTTGGCGCTATAGATTAACGCTCTGGACTGCAAAGTTGGTTTGAACTGCAAGATCAGTGGTTCAAGCTCACCAGCCGCTCCTTGGAAACCTTATTCAGGGTCACTATGGGTCGGAACTGACTTGACGGCACTTAACAACAATAACAACCAAAGAAAAAAGGAGACCCATGATTTGACCCATAAAATTTTCAACATTAAGAAACTGGGGGAAAAGTCCACAATGAACACTGAAAACAAGCAGCCATTGAGAGGAGAGACAAGAGAATATGAATTTCTGGAATCCAAGCGATGAAAGCATTTTAAAGAGGATGCAGGGACCAACCCTGTCAAATGCCACTCATAGGTCATGCAAGGTGAGGACCAAGAATGGACCACTGAGTTTAGCAACATAGAGGTCATTGATGATCTTGAGTATTAAGGGTTAAAGTATTATTGAAATGGATTCAAAGGAAAATGAAAAGAGGACATCTGTATTTTCTTTTGATAGCTGTTGCTATAAAGAGCATAATGGAATGGCAATTGGTCTAACTAGTTCTTACAGACAGGGTGTTTTCACATATGGATGAAATGACAGCATATTTATATGCTAATTGGGAAAATCCTTTTTTTCTTTTAAATGTTTTATTGTGAATTATGTGATAGTTTACATGGGAGAACATTAGCTTTACATT